CCCCACCAGCATGCATCCTGCCCTGGACCCCAAAAGCCCCTGCAATGTCACATCCCTAGAGCCCCACTGACATCCTCCACCCAGTCACCTCCACTACTGGCTGCTGCCTATGGGGCCAAAGCACAAGCCAGTGGCAGTGACCCTGCAGAAGGACTGCCATACATTTGTATGTGCCCTGAGGGCAAGCTCTATGACTCACAGCTGCAACCATGGCAGGTTGCTGCCGCCAGGTGTCAAAATGCAAATTTGCATGCACCCTGAGGACAGCTCTATCACATCTTCAGCCTCCACCTACAGCTGCAGTGCACACTCCCTAGCTACCTCCCTACAACTGTTCCCACTGAGAGCAATCCCACCATCCCCAGCATCAGGGCCACAGCAAAATCACTGCCACCCCCACTTGAACATTCCATCAGGAGACTGGAAATTATCCTGCTCCTGCCCATCACAAACAGCACCTGCTCACACCACTGGAGGACCTGAGGATACTCTCACCCCGCCCAGCTCAGCACACCACTCCCAAGGACTTAAGCATGTTATCTGGGGTCCTTGGGATCACACCACTTTGTTCATATCCAATGTCAGCTGAGCATTGCACCTGGAGGTCTGAGGATGTGGCCCACCTAACCTGCTACTACCACCACAGCTGGTACCCACTCACACTTGCCACCTGACTTGCCTACGCAGCATATCACAGTCACCGCCAACATAAACCCAAACAACTGGAGAGCCAGAAGGTTGTCCTACCACTACTACTGACATGGCCCATGTCATGCTCACTGCCCATGGGCCTGTGGACCCACCCAACTGCCCAGCCTATCACTACCACTGCTGGCACCCAAACAAGTCACCTGTAGACCCAAAAATTGGCCTGCCTGCACTCACTAACACCATTTCCAAAGTAAGCCACCCTGTGGCTAATGTACAAGCATGTTTGTCCCACTGCTGCCACCACTGAAGACTGAGAATCAGTCCAGCAGGTTTCACCATTCCCAGCAAAAGTTCACCACAGTCTCCGCTAACAACTATACACTAAACCACTGAGGAAATCACAAACACCACTGATGCTGTTTACAGGGGAAAAAAGTCTTACAGAGACTACACTACTAAATGTATCCAGATTCAAAGCCAAAGTGCCCTAGGCAACCAATACCCCAGACAAATCTTCAGGAAAAAGTCCTACCCTGTGAAAGCAAATTTTAAAAAAAATGGAAGTTTCTATTACACCAGATGTGTAGATATCAAAGTAAGGGCACAGGAAACATGGAGATATAAGGAAATATGACATCTCCAAAGGATCACAATAATTTTCTACCAAAAGATTCCAGTGCAGAAGAAATTCATAAAATGCCAGAAAAAGAATTAAAAATAATGATATTAAAGAAGCTCAGGAGATACGAAAGAATACAGATAAACAATACAAAGAAACCAGAAATACATTTCAGGATATGAATGAGAAATTTACCAAAGAGAAACATAACATTTAAAAAGAAAACCAGACGCCAGGGGTGATGGCTCATGCCTGTAATCCAAGCACTTTGGGAGGCCAAGGCGAGTGGATCACCGGAGGTCAGGAGTTTGAGACCAGCCTGACCAATATGGAGAAACCCCATCTCTACTAAAAATACAAAATTAGCCGGGCGTGGTGGTGCATGCCTATAATCCCAACTACTTGGGAGGCTTAGGCAGGAGAATCACATGAACCAGGGAGGTGGAGGTTGCTGTGAGCCGAGATAGTGCTACTGCACTCCAGCCTGGGCTACAAGAGCAAAACTCCATCTCAAAAAATAAATAATAAATAATTAACTAGAATCATGAAACTGAAGAATTCATTTAATGAAATAAAAAAATACATTCTAGAGCATCTATAATAGACTAAATTGAGCAGAAGAAAGAATTTCAAAACTTGAAGACACGTCTTCTGAAATAACCCCATTAGCCAAAAAGAAAGAAAAAAGAATGGACAAAACCTACATAACATATGGGATATCATAAAGCAGCCTAGTATCAGAATTTTCAGTATTCTAGAAGACTGAAAATACGAAAGGTAGAGAAAACCTGGTTAATGAAATAATAACTGAAAACTATCCCAGTATAGCAAGAGATTTAGACATCCAGATACAGAAGCTCAGAGATCTCCAAAAAGACAAAATTCAAAAAGACCTTCTCCACAACACATTAGAGTCAAACTGTCGACAAAGACAAAGAGAATTCTAAAAACAGTAAGAAAAAAGTGTCTAGTCACATCTAAGGGAAGCTCCATCAGACTAACAACAGATTTCTAAGCAGAATCATTATAGGCCAGGAGAAAATGAAATGATATATAAAAAGTGCTGAAATTTAAAAAGAAAAACAAAAAAACCTGCAAGCCAAGGATACTATACCCAGCAAAAATTCATTAAGCAAAGGAAAAATAGTCTTTCTGACGCAAACAAAAGCTGAGGAAATTCAACACCACTCGACCAGACCTACAAGAAATGCCTGAGGGAGTGCTACATCTGGGAAGTGAAAGAACAATATCAGGCCAGGCACAGTGGCTCAGGCCTATAATCCTAGCACTTTGGGAGGCTGGGGCCGGCAGACTCCTTGAGCCCAGGAGTTCAAGACCAGTCTGGGCAACATGGGAAAACCCCATCTCTACAAAAAAATTTTTTTAATTAGCTGGATGTGGTAGTGTGCACCTGTGGTCCCCACATCTTGGGAGGCCAAGGAAGGAGGATCGCTTGAAGCCAGAAGTTCAAGACCAGCCTGGACAACATAGCAAGACCTCATCTCCCCATCTCTACAAAAAAAAAAAAAACAAATAATTAGCCAGGCATGGTGGCGTGATTCTGTATTCCCAGTTACCTGAGAAGCTGGGGCAGGAGGATCACTTGAGACCATGGAGGCTGAGGCTATGGTGAGCCATGATGGCACCACTGCACCCCAGCTTGGACAACAAAACAAGAGCAAGACCCTGTCTCAAAAAAGAAACAAACAAACAAAAAGACAGTTACTATCATCATGAAAAATAGATGACAAAATTACCAAACCCACTGGTAAAGCAAACATAGAGACTGACAAGAAAGGATCCAAATGTTCTCATTATAGAAAACCAACAAACCACAATGCTAAACAATATGAGAGAAAGAAAAGAAGAAAGGACTTACAAAACAACCAGAAATCAATTAATAAAATGACAGGAATAAGCCTTCACATATCAATAATAAATTTGAATGTAAATAGATTAAACTTCCACTTAAAAGATAGAGAATGGCTGAATGGATTAAAAAACATGACCCAACTACACGCTACTTAGAAAACCTCATCTCACCTCTAAAGATACACATAGACTGAAAGTAAAGGGATAGAAAAAGATATTCCATGCAAAGGTATTTCAGATACAACAGACTTTAAGACACAAACAGTAAAGAGACAAGGTAATTATATAATGATAAAGTAACATCCTGGACCTGCCTCTAGTCCATCTTGTACCACAAGAGTAAAACTCCTATCTTCAATGCCTATTTCTATACAGGGAACCCAGCAAGCACAGGCTTTAACCCTACTCAGTATTTTGCACTTATAATCTATATTTACATACAGCTTGATCTATTTTTATTCAGGATATTTTTTTTTCTTTTTATATTTTAATATGACACAATCATGTGTTTACAACAGAAAGGATGTTAACTGGAAATCACACTGCCTTAAACATACACACATACCCCAGAATTCCATAGGCACTCAATAAATGTTTCCTGAATAAATGAAATCATTTAGAAAATGCATTGATGCTTTTCTACAAAAAACAATCAAAACAATAAGTAACTCTGGTTGGCTTTTTTTTTCCCCTGGAAGTACATCATGAGAAAGAAGACAATAGGAACACCTGAGTCCACGAAGTTGAGGCTGCAGTGAGCAGTGACTGTGCTCATGCCACTGCACTCCAGCCTGAGTAACAAAGTGAGACCCTGTCTCAAAAAAAAAAAAAAGAATATAATCATCACAACTACAGCTGGCATTACTGCTTTGATTTGTGTTAAGATGTCAGCAGTTTCACTATTACTTGTGTACCATTTGTGCATATGTCAACTCAATGAAAAAGACATTTAACGTCTTGGCATTATTATGAAAATCATTTTAATTTCATTAACCCCTTGAATAGGTTGTGGGATACGTAGGCACCCTCTAGAGACCATGTTCTGAGAACTGCTACAATTCTACATTCAGCTACAAACCTCATGTTACACCTCAGTTACACCAAGAGACACATTAGAAGAATATTCATTGTGCCTCAGCTTCCAAAGGCAAAAACTGCAAGCAACCCAATCAGGAAAATAGGTAAATACCTTGGTGCATTTATACTACAGAATATGTTCCTCAGCTGTTAAAATAAATGAACTATAGCTTTATGCAACATGGATAAATCTTAAAAATACAATTTTGTAAAAGCAGTAAGTTACAAAAAAACTATAAGCTGTAAAATATCATTTTTCTAAAATTCAAAAACAATCAAAACTGAATCGTACATTGTTTAGGCATATACATGTGTTAAATAAATCTCCCCCACAAAAAAAAAAATCAAGGAAATGTTAATCCCAAAATATAATACAAGGGTTTCTTCTGTGAGACAGACAGGACGACTGCTCAGGAGAAACACATATATAGGTGCAAATTGCTGGCAATGTTCTAGTTCCTGGGGTGGGTGGTAGTTTCATGGGTGTTTAACATATTGTTCTTTATAACTCTCATATAAGTTACATCTATTCTAGTTTTACAGGACTTTTCCCTCCTAAATATAATCAAATCCACAAATCTTAAGGGTACCAGTCAATAAGTTTAGACACTGCATATACCTATGTAACCCAAAGCCCTAAGAAACTATCAGCATCCCAGAAAGTTCTTTCATGCTCCTTCTCCATCAGTCCCTGCTCTGATCACCCAAGTGGCCACAGCTGTTCAGATATTTTCCCACCGTAGATTAGAGTATGGTTTTGCTCAACGTCTTGTACCACCAGAATGAAAGTTTCCTGAAGGTAAGAACCTTGATATATTATTTACTACTGCACTCAGTGCCTAGGATACTCTCTGACACACGAAAGTTGCTGAATAAATGAAGAGTAAATAAAAGCTATAACTAAGTTTCATCAGCATGTGTTGATTAATAAATCAGTTGAATAAAGAGTAAATAAGAGGCTGGGTACAGTGGCTCACACCTGTAATCCCAGCACTTTGGGAAGCCGAGTTGAGAGCACCACTTGAGCCCAGGAGTTCAAGTCCAGCCTGGGCAACATTGTGAGAACCTGTCCCTACCAAAAAAAAAAGAGTAAATAAAATTTATAATAAATTTTAATCCATCTGTACACGAAAACTGGAAAACCAGTACTTTAAATATCACATTTTAAAAGTTAATATTTTCAAAATTTAGTTGTGTACTAGTAATTCTAAGAGATACAATTTTTCAGATCAATAAATATGCATCAAGAAGTAATGCAGATTAGAAAAATTACTAAACTGGGAGCCAAGAGACCCAAAAATAAGTTTTCATCCTTTCTTATTGCAAACTAGTTACATGACAAATCAATCTCAGCTTTTTCACTTGTATAACTAATTAAATCTCAGCCATTCGTCCCAGCTCTTAAAAATCTATGATTTATAGTAAATTATACATCATCTAAGTACAAAATAAATTTTAAAAATTAAGTGCTACAAAGTGACAAGAATAAAATTATCATCATTACTAAAAACAAAGAAAGTTTTAGAAGTTTCACACAACGATAAAAACATACGCTGGATCTTAAAAGAAAAATAGAATTTTGACAAGTAATGAAAAAAACAGGGCATTACTGGCAGGAAGAAAAGCATGAAAAACATGGAAAGAGGAATGTACACAGCATGTTCCTAGAACAAAGTAGAAACAAGTTTGGCTGGACTGACAGGTTTAGATAGGTCAGTGCTTCTCAACTTTTCCACAGAAATGTCCCAAAAGGCAGTGGAGTGGTCTAAAGAAGAAGCTAAGAATATAAAATACATTTGAAATACATTTAATATCCATGTGATTTAGCCATTTTGATTTACTTTGTTCAGTATATCAAATTTTTATAGTCCAAGTAGATATACATTTTTTCCTACAATTATTCATATGCTACTTTGGTAAACCTAAACATAGTGAGGTGAAATGTAAAAGAATTTTATATTACACTCTAAAGACCACTCATTTTAAAATGTACTTTTATCACAAAAGAAGAAGATATAAGTTATTGGGGAAAAAGTGCTTTGAACTGTTTTCTTACTGAGCAAGAAAGAAAATATGAACAGAAGAGAGGTCCTAACAAGCTCTCATACTTTGTGATAAAAAATTTGTTCAACCTTTATTCTTCTCTTTCTTTCACCCCATTATCCAATCCATCAATATGTACTGATATAGTTTTACTTCCAAATTATATTTCAAATCCATTGGCTTTTTTCTCCACAACTACCATCATACGGTAAGCAGCTATTATTTCACTCTTGAACTATTGCAATGTCCTCCTATTTTCCCTAAGTCTACTTTGCCTCCCAATTACATAATCTCCACACAGGAGCCACCCTCATATTTTAAGAATGTTTAGACTAAAATTCCATGAGTCCTACATTATTTGTTTGCTGTCTACCTTTCCAACCTCATCATACAACTCTTGCTATGTGCTCCTTCCACTACTAAATTACAGGCTTCAATACATTATAACTCATAAAAGAACCTCATCTGCCTTGTCAAACAACCTATTCTCAGCAGGTAGAAAAGTCCTGAGATACAGATCTTACTAAATATTTAATTTATTAATGCTAAGATCATAAAAATAACAAAATAATTATTTTGTTACACATACAATATAATTTCAGGATCTCCAGACCAAGGCTGGGTTGCCTCCCTTAATGAGAAGTTCAGAAAAATCCTGTGCATTTCCCTTCTGCCCTAAACACCAAGGAAATGATGAATAATAATATTTTAAAGTAATTTTTAACATAGAGATTTTCAGTAATGAGAGTAGTTTATACTACACTAATTTTCCTGCTGACAACAATTATAAACTTTTTAAAAATATGTATTTATAAAAACACCATTTGAAGACATTGTCAAGGAAACAAAAGCAGATACAAACTAGGTAGGGGTGATATGACTCTTGAAAGAAGGGGAATACAATGAATGAGGCCCACACTTACCCTTCTTCCTTCCTAAGACAACTACACAGTCTGTTGTGTACAGGCAGGGGACAGAAGAGGGGACAGAGCTCTTGTAAAAAGCTGCAGTCTTACTGGGTGAAAGTACCAGAGAATGAAGTCTGGAGCTGCTAGAAGAGCTAAAACTTGAGGGCAGAAATCTCAGGAAACTGGGAGTCAGCTGGGGCTGACTCCTGAATTCCCATTCATAGGATGAAAATCCAAGCCCAGGGAGAGGCAACAGTCAGAAATCTGAAAGAACTGGGAAGACATTTCAACAGCTATCTGGTCCTGGAGAGTCAGGGTTTAGCGTAACAGAGAATTGGTAAATATCTCAGGCTTTCCATTGAAACTGTAGAAAAGCCACACTTGAAAAATAAGAGCCACTTGCCAGAACTAATGGCCAAACTGAAACAGACCTGTCCTAACAAAGCCTAAAACCAAGCCTCCACAGGATCAAGGTGATGTGCCAGTAATTTAACCACCAGCTAAAACAAAATTCAATACTTCAGAGGAAGATTGAAATCCACACCATCTGGAGTTTCTACACTGTATCACCCACAGTGTTTAGCAGTCAGTGAAACTTACTAAACATAGAAAGAGAAATGGGGGAGTTAAAAGGAAAATATTTGTAATAGGAATGGACCCACAGCAGACCTAAATGTTGGAATTTATTTTAAAGATTTTGTTTACTATGATACACATGTAATAGAATTTACATTAAAAAATTAATAAGATGCATGAAGATAAAGAAGCCATATGTAAACTCTACAACATCAAGAAATCTAGGCCGGGAGCTGTGGCTCATGCCTGTAATTCCAACATTTTGGGAGGCCAAGGCAGGAGTATTGCTTGAGTCCAGGAATTCAAGACCAGCCCTCACAACATAGCAGGACCCCATCTCTAAAAAAAAAAAAAAAAAAAAAAAGAAAGAAAGAAAAGAAAAGAAAATTTTAATTAGCTGGCCATGGTGCTGTATGCCTGAAGTCCCAGCTACTTGGGAGGCTGAGGCGGGAGAATTACTTGCCCTCAGGTGTTTGAGGCTGCAGAAAGCCACGATCACACCACTGAACAAAAGCAGCAACAAAATTGGATACATATAGGCGGAACAGAAGAAATATTTGAAAAAATACTGGGTAAATGTTTTCAAGTTTGTTTAAAAAAATCAAACCACCAATCCAAAAAAATTCATCTGACCCCAATCTATATAAACCCATACTTAGTCACATTATAGCCAAACTGCTAAAAACCAAAGAAAAAAAGAAAATCTTAAAAGGAGTCACATACATTCTGGAGAACCAAGATAAGAAACAGAACTGACATCTCTTCACAAGCAATGGAGGCCAGAAGACAAAGTACTAGTAGGGAGAGGGGGAAAGCTGTCAACCTAGAATTCTACAATCCTGAAAAATAATTTTGATACCACTGTATCTGTTGTATCATAAAAAATAAGAATTTCAAAACTTAAGGCGAAACAAATATATTTTCAGATAAATGGATGCTGAGAGTGTACATACCAACAAACTCACACAATAAGAACTGATAAAATAATTTGGATTAAAGGAAGTATTACATGTAAACTCAGATTTACAGAAAGGAATGAAGAACTCAAAAATAGTAAATATGTAAGTAATTATATTGTTATTCTTCCATTTCTTAAATGTATTAAAAGGGAACTGATGGCCAGACACAGTGGCTCATGCCTGTAATCCCAGCACTTTGGGAGGCTGAGGTGGGTGGATCAATTGAGGTCAGGAGTTTGAGATCAGCCTGGCCAACATGGCACAAACCCCATCTTCATTAAAAATACAAAAATTAGCTGGACATGGTGGCATGCACCTGTAATTCCAGCTACTAGGGAGGCTGAGGCAGAAGAGTCGCTTGAACCTGGGAGGCACAGGTTGCAACAGAGGTCACACCATAGGTCATGCCACCGCACTCCAGCTTGCACAACAGAACAAGACTCTGTCTCAAAAAAAAAGACAACTAAACAACTGACAATTGTTGAAAGCATGAATAATAACAGTATATAAAGTGCATGGCAGGGTTTAAAATAGATATAAAAGTAAAACAGTAACAACAATAGCTAAGAGGAATAAGATTAAAAGTTTATATAAACCAATTCATGAAAGCTCTAAGAAATAAGAAAAGGTGTTATCAGCAAATCAGATATTTAAAATAATTCCAGGAACATCAAAAGTAGACAGGATTAGAATGACAGAATAGAGGAAATAGATTCTACTTAAAACATACATAGGCTAGGTGCAGTGGCTCATGCCTGCAATCCCAGCAGTTTGGAAGTCTAAGGCGAGGGGATCACTTGAGCCTGGAGCTCAAGACTAACCCTGGCCAACATAGTGAGACCTTATCTCTACAAAANAAAAAAAAAAAAAAAAAAAAAAAAAAAAATCTAAAAATTAGCCAGCGTGTAGTGTGCATCTGTAATATTAGCTACTTGGGAGGCTGGGGTGGGAAGATGGCTTGAGCCTACAAGTTTGAGCCTACAGTGAGCTAGGTGCCAGCCACTGTACTCCTGCCTGACAAACAGAGCAAGACTGTGACTCTTAAAAAAATTATTTAACTGAAGAAAAAAATAATACACAGAAGACATCAACAAGCATAAAAACAGCTGTCTGCACACACATTAATAAAGCATAAATATACAATGATTATCAAGGATTGTTGTTACACAGTTAGGATGGGGATGGGGCAGGGGTGGTGGGCACAAAAGAGTAGGACCAAAATGGACCAGAAAACAACTGACCCCAGAAGAAATAGATAATGCAGGGAAAAGAACTTCATTTAAAATTTTTCTTGGTATTCTCAGAGAGATTTATGAATATTTTGAAAAAATAAAGTATCACTAGATTACGAAAAAGGAACAGAGAATAAATGAAGTTTATAAAAATTTTTTAAAAATCATGACTAGCGATAAAGAGAGCCTGGGCATTTCGTAGTCTTCCTGTGCTGCTCTGCCCTGACTTTGTTTTCATTCTGTCTCAGATGTCCCCACTATACACAATTTTGTGGATATTCTTTACGGCTTTATTCTTTATCATGAAACAGCATTTTTCTTCATTTTGGCTCTTTTGTACTTCCTACAGAAATAAATAAATGGACCGCTTTCCTTTTCCCCCAGGTGTTTAACACCTGCTCAGGTCTGAGCATCGAGCCACCCACTTTGCCCATTCATTCTAGTTATTATAAGATTTGTGTGGTTCCAACTTATGTGTTGCTGTTATAGAAAATGCTGCTCTAACCATACTTGTTAAAGTTTGCAAGTGGTTGTGCATAATAAATTCTCTATACACTAAAGAAAAAAATGATGACAATTCAGTGAAAGAGTTGAATAATATGACTCAGAGGAGCAAATTAGTAATTTGGAAGACAGTCAAGACAATCTCCCAATTCCAAGACTGAGAAAGTGAAAGAGACGAAGACAGAAAGAAAAGAAATATGATGAGCAAAAGGGTAAAAAATATGAGAATCAATCCAGGGAGTACAATTCTAAAGGAAGTTCTAGATGGAGGAAGAAGGAGAACACAGAGAAGAAAAATAATAGAAGAAATTGTATTGGTGTTAAAGACACCTGGGTTCATATTAAAAAGATCTGCTGAGAGGAGACAACATTTAATTTTTTAAAACTGTACTAACAAGATCAAAGCAAAGGGTCCAAATACCAAAAATAACAAAGAAATTCTAAAAGAGTTCAATTTATCTTTGTCTACTCAGAGCTTCTACCCACACTTATAAAAATCACTGATGAAAACATTTGTGCATTCAGATTGGTCCCTCTTTAGAGTCATACTCAAATAGATCCTTAGTACTGGCTCATCTATCATTTTATATTTCATCAGTCCATTTCCTCTCTCACTATCCAAGACAACTGTCTCATACTTTCTGCTCCTCGATCACCAAAACTGCCAGCCCTTTTCTTAATCTCCGCTTCCTACATTTGACTGAGAAATACAAGCAATCAAAAGCAAACACATAACAACTAAAGAACGCAAATCCTTTTCAATTGAAGCTGGAATATTTCAGAAAGTAGGCCACATGTTAGGCCATAAAATTCTTAACAAATTCTTAATGAAATAATACAAAATATAATTTGTATTCAAAACATGAACAATGGAACAAGCAACCATTTTATATACTTAAGACTCACAATATTGACTTAATGTTGTATAGACCATGAAAAATTTACATAATTTTTAAAAGTATTGAACAAATAATAACACTGAAGAATATAGCATAAAAATGTGAAACTCAGCTTTACACTACCCATTCATTTTATTCTGAGTAAGCAGTTTGATAAGAATTGTCATTATTAGGGGCAGGCGCAGTGGCTCATGTCTGTAATCCCAACACTTTGGGAGGCCGAGGTGGGCAGATCTAGGGAAGTCAGAAGTTCAAGACCAGCTTGGCCAACATGGTGAAACCCTGTCTCTACTAAAAATACAAAAAAAAACTAGCCAGGCATAGTGGCATGTGTCTGTAATCCCAACTACTTGGAAGGCTGAGGTAGGAGAATCGCTTGAACCTGGAAGGCGGAGGTTGCAGTGAGCCAAGATCGCACCACTGCACTCCAGCCTGGGCGACAGAGTTAGACTCCATCTCAAAAAGAAAAAAGATAAAATAACATAATAATAATAATTATTATCATTATTAGGTTGGTGCAAAAGTAATTGTGGTTTTTCCCATTAAAGCATTGGCAAAAACGCATTACTTTTGCACCAACCTAATAAAAAATATATTAAGTTGCAAAATGGGACATATTTCACATTCAATGATCACTTAATATTTTATAAATTCATGCTATCCTTAATACCTCAACAACAACAACAAAAATTCATGTATGCATTGAAAAATGTGAAGTTCTGCATTTGAATCAATGGAAATTTGCCAATGGCACCTAAATTAAAAATCTCTTATTGAAAATATAACCACTGACCCAAGCCTCGCAGCATACACAGAAAAAAAACTAGAAACCCCAATATATTTTTAAATTAATCAATATTCTTTCATAGAACCCATGGTACAAAAAATAACTTAAAAAATACTTTGGATCAGTAATGAAAATGAGTAAAATGCAGTAAAAGTGTATACTAAGATATTTATAATCTTAAATTCATACATGAGAAGAGAAGAAATGCTGAACAATGTTATTAAATAAACTTTCATTTCAAGAAGTTGTGAATGGAACAACAAATTAAGCTAAAAACCATAAAAATGAAAATACAAAAGCAGAAATCTGAGAATAAAAAGAAAATAAAGAAAAGCAAAGTAAAAAGTTGGCTTTTTAAAAAACATTAAAATTGATAAAACACTAGAAAGACTGATCAAGAAAAAAAGAAGATAAAACAGAAATTACCAATATTGGGAATTAAAAAGTAGACATTATTCCCAGAGCTTACAATTTTGAAATGTAAGACTATAAGGACTATTCTCCAATTTAAAAAAAAAATGAAGTTTCTTTTAAAACAATTTACCAAAATTGGCACAAGAAGAAATATAAAATTTGAATAATTCTATATATAATTGATATGGTTTGGCTCTGTGTCCCCACCCAAATCTCAGGTTGAATTATGATCTTCAATGTTAGAGAAGCGGCCTGGTGAGAGGTGACTGGGTCATGGGGTGGATTTCCCCTTTGTTATTCTCTTGATAGTGAGTGAGTTCTCATGAGACCTGGTTATTTAAAATTTTGTAGCACATCCTCCTTTGCTCTCTCATTCCTGTTGCTATATGAAGATGTGCTTACTTCCCCTTCACCTTCTATCATGATTGTAAATTTCCTGAGGCCTTCCCAGCCATTCCTCGTGTATAGCCTGCAGAACCGTGAGTCAATTAAACATCTTTTCTTTATAAACTACCCAGTCTCAGATAGTTCTTTACAGAAATATAAGAACAAATGAATAAAGTAATTTAAAAATTGAATATACCACTTAAAACTTTTCCA